TATTACTGTATCCTAATGGCCTGTGCTGTAATCTGAGTATTTGTGTCTCCACAAAATTCCTATCTTGAAATTTTACCCTTGAATGGATGGCATTAGGAGTTAAGACCTTAGGAAAGTGAGTAGGTATGGGGTGCAACTCTCATGGTTGCAATGTTAGTGCCTTATCAAAGAGGCCACAGAGAGATCTCTCATCCTGTGTGTTAGCTTTTCATTGATATGACAAAATAACTGAGAAAAATAACTTAGCACATCACAAAAACATAAGTATCTATGAACTCAGAAAAGGACCCTCAGCACACACCAAATCTGCAAGTGTCTTAACCTCATAGCCTCCACAAGTGTGAGAAATAAATTTATAGGACATCTAGTTTATAGCATTTTGTTATAGGAGCATTTATAGACTAAGACATCCCGCATAAGTATTCACATCTATATGCTTAGGAAATGTTTGTAGGAAAATAAATTTCATCTTCTAGAATGTGGACTCCATAAGTCCAGACCCTGAGTTCTTATTCACTGCTGAATCTTCTGTGCCTAGGCACTATCTGTTGAAAATGCTTAATATGTATTCCACAAATGAATAAGTGATTTAATTAAGCAGCACTCTCCTCGAAAAGCAGGCCCATGTCTCAAACAGCTAAAATAGACTGGGTTTAAAATGAGCTGTATTCCAACAGTTCTGGCCCAAAGATGATTTTGGTTAAGATGGTTAATGCCCAAGTACAGATTATTCATTAAGAATATTAAGGCAAAAAAATTGACCTTAAGATTTCCCTCATTTGGTATTACGGAGGCATGACCATAGTCTAACTGAGTCTCACATTTTGAGACAGCTTAGGGTTCATTTTACAATACAACAATGATTAATTGAGCTCTCAGTTTTTGCTTGATAAAAATCACTTCTGGAGGATGATTTAATTCTTAATGCTTGATGTGAAATTCCCTGCACGTGTTCAGAAGCAAACAATTGTTTTGTTAGAACATGATTAGGGATACACATGTTTGCACAAACACATGAGCGGCATCAAGGACTCTGAAATTCTCAGTGTCTGCCATGACACCGTGACGTAAAATCTGTTGACTAGTGTGCTCTTTTGAAAACATGAACAGACACTCATTCTTATTGCCATAAATTTGAAAGTTGTTTTCATTTTGGATGGATGCTTGCATTTGCCAAGTGTCTTTAGGTCATTGACCAATCACTTGTTTAAACAGGAAAACTGTGATCTTTATCATTCTCATGAATGATCCAAAATAAAAGATATACTTTTATGCAACAGATAAGACTAAAATGTTGTGCTCTCATAGAAAATACTCTGTAGTGAAAGGGAGTGCATTTACAGTAAGCAGGAGGTACCTTCGAGGGCTAGGAAACAGACTTAATGTTCAGGTTATTTACCAGCAAAACAGATGCAGCTCCCTTTCTTGATAAGAAATACACAAGAGCAAATTTTAATAAAGCACTACCAGAATTACTGGCTTAATACATATCTCCCCTTATTTATTTCTCCTCTAAATCCATCTTCAATGAAATGGGAATGTACTTAAAGGAAACCAAGCAATGGTCATTAAGAGGATGATTATAAAGTTACCTGGGGATTTGGCTAAGCAAAAGATCTTTAGGTATCAAAAAGAAACTACAACTTGAGTATATTTAAATGGTGTATCTAGGAAAATCCACAAGAATTAGACAGTTTTGTCCCTTCTGGAACTTACAGGTGTCCTTACTACACTAATAAGGTGAAACAGAGCTCCACGATTTTGTGCTTTTTAAAATTGAGAGGAAGACATTCTGAGATAAGCTTGAAATATGTAGTGCTATACATTTTTTTGCTATTGTTGGTGCTGGTTTGTTGGTTGATTTTCTGGGCTTTCTGTTGTTAAGTTTTTTCTTTGTTTTATTTTTGCTCCCCAAAGAAAGTTTCAAGAAAAAAAAATGGAAAAATACTGATTCACTGGTCAACGAGTTTACATTTGAAGATATGTTCCTGAACTACCCTTTATCCAACTTATTCTTTAGCCAGCAATAGTTTAGAATCAAGTTATAGTTCAATTGCAGAAGTATCATTTTGAAAGCATGGTCAAAAACTATCTCTGAAAGACTAAAATTTGTTAGTATGTGAAACTTTTCCAAATTATGTGAAATGATCAATATGGTCTGCCTCAAAATACTTCAATACAAAACAGATGTTGAAATAGATACTTATAATAGCTTACTTAAACATTTTGTTTCTTTTTTATTTGCTGTTAAAAACCTCCGACATCCAGAGATATGTGGGAAGAAGTTGAGTGAATATAATTCTGATAAACAATTTCTACCTCTGATTCATTCAGTTACAAATATGTGCTAAGTTTCTTTCAGGCATCCAGAACTTCTTATAAAGTAACAATGAAAGAGATGACTTTTTTCTTCAAGATTTCAATGAGTAAATCCTTAGATAGAATTCAAGTGCACCTCTAAGCTGTATCATTCTATTATTTGGCTTAAATATAACCATGGAATAATTATGTTAACATACTGATATAAAAATGGGTGCATGTGCATTTTTGTATAAAAGCAGTTAATTTCCAACAACTAGTGATTACTAACAAATAGTAGAGGAAGAGACTATATATATGTTGGTATTATATTTTTTAGATGTTATTAGATGGCTGAGCAATAGATATATATTCTTTTTCTGGCAAGGTAGAAAATTTTTTACTGTCAAGGCAAAATTTGTACAGGACAAAGTTAATAGGGCCAGGCAAAAAATTTAAGCCTCTTGCAATATGTAAGATCTTTTTAAAAGATTAACATTTCAAAGGGGCATAGAAGGAATTCATAACTACAAGCTTTCTAAAGTAAATGCTCTATGGAAAGGGGGTTCAGGAGTCTTTGTGGTTCGTCCATCTGAAATTGTAAGGATCTGGATGAGGGAGAGATGAGGAGGCAAAAAGAATTTTAACTTTTTGTCAAGCTGAGGGAATGTTATGGCTGTCTTGTTTAGCACTCAATGCTGAAAGAAATCTATAATAAATACAATATCAATATCAAAAACAAATGCAAAACTATAAGTAGCTATAATTTACCATATTAAGTTATCATTGAATTAAAACTGTCAATTTATTACAAAAAAGAAGACATTAATTTTCCTTGTATATAGCTGTCCCTTTATCATGCCATTGGCTCATGTTTGGAAATTCATGCCCTCATGCCAAATGTTCCTAAAAATTTTTGTTTTCTAAAAGAAAGCTTTATCAGAACTCAGCCATGCTCATATGTTTATTGAATATCTATGATTGCTTTGCACTAGGACTGCAGAGCTGAGTAACTGTGAGAGGGACAGTAGAACCTACAAAATATTTACTGTCTGGCTCTTTATAGGAAAAAAAAATGTCAACCCTGCCTCAGACTATTATCTAGTGTGAACAGTGGTTTTGGTAAATTTGAGTTTCATTACTATGATAAGACCAAATTTCCCTCTAGGCCACTTGATCTCAATAACTATACCGAGTCATTTTTTTATTCTTATCATTTACTTAGGTTTAGAAGTGAGAGAAAAATATAATGGAATGAAATAAGGAGGACTAATTCTCCTGTTTTCAACTATTATATAGCTACCATTTTCTGCATTAATATGACTGTGCTTCTCAATATGTAGAAAACATAGATATTAAGGACTGACATCAGCACATAGCGGTATCTTGGCATAAATTCAACTTGATTCTTTCTTTTTACTGGGATTCTTTCCAAGATGTAGGCTGTTTTGATTTTTAAAACCTAGCTTTCTGTATATAAAATAATTCATTTATTTTACATTGTTAATCACAGTTGCCTTTCAATTGAGCTCAAATTTTATACTAGGTGTTCTTCTGAATTATAGTTTTTGGCATGGAATGAAACAGATGCAAAAATAGATTGCCTAGAAAGTCGGGCCCTGCTGCTGGACGTGGGCAAGCAGCAGGATGTTGACCATCAGTCAGGGACCCAGGGACCTAGTAACTGGGTCCCAGATGCAGGAGGGGTGTTTCACTGGCTGACCTTTAAGTTCCTTTCATGTCTAAGAATCTGTATATCTGCATCATTTAGCATCTGCACATTCTACAAACTGAAAACGCATGCAATTCCTCTCTCAGCAATTAAAAACCTCATTCATTCTTAAATTACACTGCTCTAGAACTGTGAATAGTCTTATGAACAATAAATCTTAAAGATGACTCTGTTTTTGTTCCAATTTATATCTATCACTAAGACATAAGAAATTGCTTATCTGGGCCAACATTTACTCAGTTCACCTAAAAATATGACCTTGTTGTTAATACAAAAGAAAAGTCTTCTAACATATGCGCTTATAAACTTAGACCCTATCTTAAAAAGTAAGCTATGGAGAAATAATGACTCAGTTCTAAATCCTGTCTCAAACTCCTCAGTGAGGGTTAGGTGACTGTGCAAGTTAATCCTGTAATAATACCACAATTCCTACAGTATTTGGGTTCTATAAGTGCTAAATAAATCTGTTTTACTGAAATAACCATTACTGATTTAAATATCGAAGGAAGGACCTGTTATCCTAATATTTGGGACAATACACTATAATGACTCTGGATGTATCTCTGACACTAACCAGCTGTGTCACCTTGGTGTCATCAGGGCTTTAGTTCCCTCAGATCTCGAAAAAGGTGTTAGTTTTCAAACTTTAGAGTATGTAAGTGTCCCCTGCATAGCTTGATAAAACACAAATTGCTGGGTTCTACCCTCAGATTTCTTATTCAGTAGGTCTCAGGTGGGTGGAGAATTTGCATTTCTAAGTTCCCAGGAGCTGCTGGATGCTAATCAAGGGACAATGCTTTGAGAACAGATCAGAGGTTAGATACAGCTGTACTCAGTATCAAGCATGCATAGTAAAATGTGGTGCTCTTTTAAATAAGTCTCACTTGAATTAGAAGAACTGAGATGAATGTTTTTTCTCTTTAGATTTCAATAGAGATTTTGGACCATGTAAGTGTTCTATGGTACTTACGTCATAGCTTGATAAATGGATTCAATCCCGTAACGCATGGCAAATTCATCAACTATTTCTTGGGAAGCATCATCAAAGAAAACCTTCCAGGCTTCATCCCCTTTGACCTCTGGGATTTTCACTCCGCCATTAGATTTCACTTCAGTCAAGTAATGGAAAAGATTCTAAAAGCAAGTGGTTTTCAATTGTTCAGTGATTCCCTCAGAACAGACTAGAAATACTTAAGTGTAACTTTCAGTAAAATATACCTGCATCACTTCTAATATTTTATCAGCATCCAAAAGCAATAGGAACATCTTGAATGTTTAGCTCATTTTATTATGCAAAATCTGCTTTTACTTCTGCCTGTGGCTGTATACAATCAGTAATTCTAATGTTTTGTACACACCCAACAATTTTCAGAGGAAGTTAGAAGTGCTTTAATGTAAACGTATTTTGCATTCACGGGCTCTGAGTAAATTATAGTGCCCTGGATGAATAATGTGAAATTGGTGATGTTAGCATGGAATTTGTTATGTAAATGATATGAATGGGCTTTTCTGCAAAATGGCAAGAGTCAGGGCAATGAATTGAGGTTGAAAATAAAAGTTTGAGAATTTTTGTAATGAAAAAAGTCACTCCCTCAATTCATTTTTGCTTTTAACAAGTTTGGAAATTGCTGCATGGATTTAGCTTGGATCACCTGAACAACTTTTTTTTTTTGGATTCCAGCTCTTTCTAGTTTTTGAGCCAGGAGAAAAAGACTTTGAAAAGTGAAGTATAATGTGTAAATCTTCTCTGCCTATGCCTTCAGGTCAGAGTTCCCCCATCATGCCAGTTCAAGGAATTTCTTTTCATTGGTCTGGAAATAGAATTACCTTTCTTGAAAGAATGCTGTAACTGAGCAGATTATAGTCATGAAATTAATCTTTGGTCCTGTGCCTAGTTACTGTGCAATATATAAATAGCTAAATGCTCTTTCTCATTTCTTGTTTAGTAAAATGGAGTGCAAATATCTACATGTATCAAATATTCACAGGTATAAATTTTCAGATTTAGGAAAAAATTATAATGCATGATATGTAAAAAAGCAAAGCTGTCTTTCCAGTGTTTTTTTTTAAATCTCTACTAGGAAGGTTTTTTTCTCTCATCTCTTTGAAGACAGAAGGGGCATTCCTCAGCTTCACATCTTTTTGACATATGGGTAATTATCATTTGCTCAAAGAAATTCTTCAGTGACACCTCTAAGTAACCTCTCCAAAGCAAAGCATCTCACAGAAGCCCAAGATTACTGGTCTGTCACACTATATACTGTGGCACAAAGGAACCAGTGAGTCTTCCCTTTAATACCTGCTTCATGGGCTTGTCCTCAACAAACATTAAAGGACAAGCTTTTCCCAGTCAATTTGTGGGACTTATGATACCTCAGCATATCACCAGCTACAGTGTAGAGTAGGAACAACTACACGAACCCCATTCCATGAGTTTTTTTAAACCTCAGATTGTTTTATGATCCATGATAAAGAACATTTTCTTTTCTAGGTTTCATTTTCAATAAAATTCAATTTATTTACCTCATGTAAACATGTATATTGTATATGGTATGGAGCAACTTTCTCCTCTCCTTTTATTTCCACATTGATTTTCAATCGAATGGCCCCAGATACAGCTGACTTATCTGTCCGTTTCTCTGGCAAAGCAACAACAAAATGTACTTGGTTAGTCATTTTCATATGAGCATATTTCTTATTCATGCTCTCACAAGCTTTATAAAAAAGCTTACATGTCTAAACCTATTTTTCTAGGTCAGATTTGATTAAGTAACTATAATGATTCCCCTAAACACAACTTAAAATATTTGCCTGCTGTATCAAGTGGTTTATGAGATACTTCAAATAGAGAAACTCAACCACAAGAAGACTTGCCATTCTGATATGTCTGTGCATGTGATCAACTTATACACTGACATAAGAAATTGTGTGGCAGTTAAAAGCAAGGTAAATGAAGTATGAAATCAAGTAGGAAAGTATGTCATTAAATGATCCCACTGCTTAGTTTCTTCTCTTTCATTCTGAACTTGAAAAGATGGGCCATAGTTCTGGTTAACAACAATAAAAAAATGAAAATAGTTTTCATTGACTATAATTCATAACACCTATGTTCTGTCTATAGTTTTTGTTTATTTATAAATGTTGGATCAGTTATTGGAATGGAACTGCTTTATAATCAATTCAGTTAAATAATGTGACTTAGAGAGAAAGAGAGAGAGAGAGAGAGAGTGAGCTCAAGTGCCCAATGTAAACTGATCAGTAGCTTTGAAAAAAATAAGGACAGAGTCACAAAATTCCTAGAGTGTGAATGTAGGTGGGAGAACTAAGTTTGATGCCATTTCACAGATTAAAATATACAGAGGCAGGCAGGCTGGCACATTTCACAAAGAAAACTAGGATTTAAATAAATTGACACAAAGTCAGAGATGGAGACTTCTTTAATTGGCCCCTTTTCTAAATAAAACCGTATTTTTAGCCAGATAACAGATAGATAAATCATGAAGCTAACTGCCTCTTGTGGAATGCCTGTTGACTTCTCATCTTCCTATGGCATAGTAATTGGGTTGTAAAGATCTTTCTGTTACTGGTGCTGGATCATGAGAGTGTTTCCTACTGGCTGAGACTGCAGGTTCTGAGCCTGCGTTGCTGGCACCAACAGCAACGCAAATCTTAGGATCTTCAAGCCACCCACCTCTTTCCAGAGCTCCAGAGGAGCATTACTGGTGCTTCAGTTTTTAACTGTTAGTATCCCAACAGATCCATAAGAAGGGTACTTAGATGGATACCCAAGGGTTTTGGCCAAATACTACTTTGTGTGGTGAAATGAATTCTAATTGAGGAAGAAGATGGAAAATTGCACAAAGAATGAAAATGTGGTACTTGAGAGGATTGAACACACAGGGATTTTATACAAAGCTAAGGAAGCTAAAACCTGTTTCTCTCCTCTCTCCCTCATCTCCCTCCTCTTCTTTCCCTTCTCCAACCCCATCTCTCTTTTTCTCTCTCTCTATCCGTCCTTCCCTCTCTTCCTCCCTGAGGTTAAACACCAAGAATGACAGCTCAAAATTGCTGACTAAAGGCAAACTAGCAAAGTTTACATTATTGTGTTGCATCATAGTTTCCTGTCATAGACAAAAGGACAGTTTTGGCATGAGAGCTGAAGGGCTGATTTTATTAATAACACACTGAGTTCCTCAGCAAACAAAATATACCCATACATGTCTTGCCAAAAGGACAAATTTTAGGAATTTCTGTTCTGACTTATAACTTCGTTGTCTCAACTCAAGGATGTGCTTAGTATACAAAAAGAAAAAACCCACACATAGATATGCCTTTATAATTAAAATATAATTTGTGAATATTGCACAGAGTTAATAGCCTGAAGTTTCCCTCCTCCAATATCTCTGTTTTCGTATATAGTATTACTTAATAATTTAAAGATGTGGGATGGTGTTCTATTTCAGGAATGTAGAAGTACCAATCTTCTTTAAGAACAATTTCTTAAAATATTTTGGTAATGAGTTCTTAGTCTAGCTTGAATCATGTGTCCGGATTGTTAAATCTGCTGTTTCCTTTAAATTATCATATAATTTGGAGTTTCATTAACTTTATGAGAACTTCTCCTTTACTTTCTCAACTATTCCTTGAAGTTTATAGGTTATAAAAAAAGTCAAAAGCACTCTTTAAGTTGCTAAAGCACAGTGGTAACCGAAGTGGCAATTCTCCCAGACCCTGGGTTTATGACACCTCTGATTCATTATCATCCAGCCCTCAAAACTGGATTAAAACATTTCAAAGGCTGTGATTAATAAATCTTTGGATGATATCCTTTATGTAAACTGAGGCAACCCATGTATTTTTACTACCATTAAGATACTAAAGAAGATTCTAGGTTACTATTCAACTCTAGTAAAAATCATATTAAATCTTTAATTCCTGTTTTGAGAATAAAATTTCCTTTGAAAATTTATGCCAATTAAACATATTCTCACTATCTTCATTATTAGAATCATTGTTAAGGCCACATGCATTTTTGGCTTTGTCAATTAAAGCCTACTTTTATGTCTCATCATTCAAAAGAAATCCTAAATACTTTTTTTTTGCAGGACTGGGGTTTGAATGCAGGGCCTTGCATTAACTCAGCCAATGTTTTACTATTTAAGCCATGCCCACAAACCTTTTCACTTCATTATTTTTTTCAGATATATGTTGCTAATTGAAAACTAAGACTGGTGAAATACTTTTCTCTGAAAAGCCATTCAGTTAGTTCTTTGAAAGAATTTTTTCTTTTCATCTAAGATTTATGTAATCTTTCAATAACAGTAAATCTGAATGAATAATAACTTTTATTTCCCAATTAAACTAAACCACCTAAAAGTCCAACAGAATGATTCAGAAAGGCATTGGTTATTTTTACATATAGGGGAATATAATGATGCTGTAGATATTCTGGAATTTTACTTGTTTTCAAGTAGTTATAAAAATAATCACCTAAATTGTACCAGACATCCATTTCTCCACTCAGGGTTCTGACTTCTACAATTGTTTGTCCTAGAAAATCATCTGATTCCTTTTTGAAATGTTGCTTGACTCTGGATTTAATGTCATCATCTTCATCCCACACTCTGACTTTGATTCGATCTGTGGAGTTATGGCATTCACTGAAAGAAAATGAGCATGGGTTAGCAACCACTGAAAACGGCTCTCAATGGCATCTCATGATAGCAATTCACTGTAAACCTAACTAATCCAGAAAGGCATGGCACATTGTTATAAAGGGGATTTCCTCTGACCTATTCCAACCACTGGGTATTGCAGATGTGCATATACAATGCAGGTACATTGAAGAAAAGTTTGATTATTTGAATAATGTTAGAAAAGAAAAATTATATCCCATTCTGTCCTATTTCTATTAACTTTATTAGATATAGTGAAATGTGGGTCTGAGATCTTTCTAACAGTTATCTTGAACAATATCTATGCTCAAGAAATTCATCATCAAAGATGTAAAGCTAGTGGGAGGGGGGATGATTTAGAAAAGAAACATGGTAAATTTAATCAAAATACATTATATGTAAATTGTAAACATCATTATGAAACCCCTTTGTATAATTAATTTATGATAATAAATTTTTTAAAAAGCAACAAAAGAATTTTATTGCAATGGGCATTGGGAAAGTGGACTTCAGAGTCTAAAATGAGGGTCTAGCAAAAAGTCAGACTTAATACAATCCAAGTATGTTAGTCAGTTTCTCATCTCTGTAACAAAATCTGTAAGAAAAACAAGTAAAATGAGGAAAGATTGTTTTAGCTCATAGTATCAGAGGTTTTAGTCCATGGTTGACTGAGGAGAGGCAGAATATTATAATGGATAGGGCATAATGATAGAGCCGCTCACCTCATGGCAACTGGAAAGCGCAGAGAAGGGTGGGGAGGGAAGAAGAGAGGGAGGGAGAGAGAGAAAAGAATGAAAGGAGGGAGGAGGAGAGAGAGAATGGGAAGGAGGGAGGAAAGGGAGAGAGAGAAGGAGGGAGAGGGAAGTAGGAAGGGAGGGAAGGAGGAAGGGAAGGGAAGGAGAGAAGCAGAGAGGAAGTGAGGAACAGAGGCAGAGAAAAGGCCAGGGATGAGATGTACCCTTCATAGGCGTGACTCCAGTGACCTACTGCCTCCAACTAGGTCCCAACTTTCTAATAACACATTAGTGCCCTCATGAGCTAATCACCTTTCAATAACATCACTGCTTTGAAACTAAGCCTTCAGCATAGAAGACTTTTAGGGGGACATTTCATATCCAAATCATAACTCCCAGTATTTCCATTAGATTTAGTTAAATCAAATAGTATTAGAGTAAAATTGTTTTGATTTTAAGAATAAACTGCACATTCTAGTCTGTCCTTCTTTTCCACATTTCCTCTACCTCCTTTTGTTGAAGCAAAGAACTTACAGTTTTTCCTGATCTTATGTTTTTTGTATACACTCTCCCTATGCTTCTCTGCCTTCTAACTAATCATTCTTTGAGAAACAGCTGGCCACCTGCTCTGCATCACTCTTCCCACAGCTTATTGAAATGGTTAGCCATGTTCAATCCTGTCTTCTAGTTTCCTCTTTACATGTATTTCCTCTAGCACAGGAATCTTGAACTTGTGGTTTGTGGATGAGTTCTAGGAATCCTTGACCTTGGATCTAAAAAAGTAAAGCAATCTTCTTTTTTTCAACTTTGAATATAGGCAACATTTCACAGCAGTATTTTGTTACCAATAAAACTACAGAGAGTTACATATAACATCACCCTCAGGAAATCTGAACTGTTACTTATGCCTATCATTGCTATATCAAAACTATATTTCAATACAATTGATTTTCTTTATGATTATATATTTTATTTTATGCATTGGACACTGAAGTTTGAAAAGGCATCCAAAATCTTTGCTAAACTGCAAAATGAGTTCATGGAGCAAAAATTATTTAAGAACTCCTGACAGTACGATATCTTTCCTATTAACTGAGGGGAGACAACACACATATAAGAATAACATTCGGAGCATGACATGTCTAAGTGAAAACTGTAGTCCCACTACTCTAACTTAATGCAGGTGATTTTGAACAAACGATTTCAGCAACTTCTGGGATATTTTTGGCATCACAAACATTTTGAGAACATTATTGGCATTCAGCAGGGTAGCTCAGAGATTTAAACACTAACCATATACATGAATTAAAATGGCCCATTGGGCATTATTGAAAATGTAATACCCATTGATAATTATCTAAGCTCAGTACCTAGCTCTTTTACATAAAAATTTCAACTGTTTTGCATCTTTTACTATATATTGAAATCTCTTATAAACCATGTTATATGTCAGCTGTTAAGGAAATATTTTTGTAGTCACTGTTCAGAAATTTGCTAAAGAAAAGTTGTTTTCAATTTTGAGAAATTACACTACCAATGTCAAAATGATTCAAATATAAAGCATAATGATGCATGTCTGTAATCTCAGTGCTAGGGAGACAGAGTTAGGAGGATTGTGAGTTCAAGGTCAGCCTGGGCTATCCAGAGAGATTTGTGTAAAAAAATATAGAAAACAAAAATTTAAAACCTACCCAAATGCTTGAATCAAAGAATCGCATCAGTTTGCATTTGAAATGTTCACATTCTTGCTAATCATACCAACAGGTAGAGCCTGTGTTTGATTCACATCAACTCTTATTATAATGTTATTTCCTAAGTTCTTTTTGAGGTTAGAACCAATGTTTATTAATGATATTCTTGGCAGTTTCTAGCATGTATCTTTTCAACATTTACTAAAAATCTACACTGTTTCACCATCATTCTTAGAAATATGCTCATTAAAAAATCTAATTTTGAGAACTGTTAGTACAACCTGGTGAAAACAGTGGGGAGAGAAGGATTAATCCATGATACAATATTGATAGCAGCTAACAAAGTCTACTGTGAACCATGAAGAGTTGTCCCAGAGGCAATGCGGTTTTAGTACAGCCGTTGCCTTGAAATGTCAGATGACTATATACAGACCTGAATTATTGTAGCAAGGATATTCGGATGGCAGAACATGAGCAATTTGCCAAAATTTATATTAAAAATAGCCAAGATTTTTCACTTAAAAAAATCTAAGTAGAAGCAAAAACCCAGCAACCTGTCTATTTGCTACAATCTTAGAAAATGATTAAAAGAAAATAAATTTAACCCTCAAAACATGAAATATGCTGAACTATGTCCCCTTTTCTGTTTTATAAAATAAGTCATCAGAGTTTATGTAATCCCTTGAAGACAGAGATCTAATATATTTTTAGCTCCAAATAGCAGGCACAATAAATGCAAAGCCTAGATAGTAAAGACTGGTAACATTTTTAGTATCTGCTCCTTAACAACCCAGAATATCCGTCTCCCATTTTGAAGAAATTTTTGAAGCTTTAATTTTTGTTATAAAAGATAAGACTTTTACAATGTTTAAATATATGTATACAAACAGTAAACCACATAAACCAATAATGGCATATACACATATACATGGTATATATATGTATATTTCTACAGGGTTTGCCCTGTAGAAATTCATTGTCATAACCTTGTATTTTTAAGCCCCCACAGTAAAGGGAACAGGGGAGCTGCTTTTTCAAAAACCAAGAATTACACAGGGTTTTGTAATGGGTATAAAAGCAGATACTTAGGGACACCCTCTCTTGGGACCCCTGCTTCCCAACTCTGGGGGCTCGATTCTTCTGCTTTACACTTTTATATCTCAAATAACTCTCCTGCTTTACTCACAAAAATACAAAGCGAGATGTAGTGTAAGACGGGGTGGAGGAAAGACATCACAAAGAGATGCCCATCGTCTCTGAGCATTCTGCTTCTATTTGGCCATAATCCTCTTTTTGGTCCTCACCTTCTCCAGCTAGATAACCCACATCCTTAAATTTCTTTGCAAAGTCCACACATTTGTCTTATAGTCAAGAAAGTTGTGAATTCAAAATTGAGTCATATAGTGGCCATATTCTAGGGAACTGTGCCTTTGGGAACCATGGTGATGGAGGCATTACTACTTTAATATAGCATCTCTGGTATGTAGTTCTAGAGGGGAAAAGTCTTGATGAATGGTGGCAAGGATGTTTTCTCCAAAGAAACACCCACCATGATTGTTTCTACAAAACAGCTTCAGAAACTTGAGCTTTGACCTTTCCAACAATTTTTTTGGGGGGCTTGAACTCAGGGCCTTCACCTTGAGCCATTCCACAAGTCCAACTTTTTGTGATAGGGTTTTTTTGAGATAGGGTCTTGTGAACTATTTGCCTGGGCTGGCTTTGAACCGCTTTCCTCCTGATATCTGCTTCCTGAGTAGCTATGATTACAGGTGTGAGCCACTGGCGCCTGGCTAACAATTCTTTAGTAAACTAATTGCTTATGAAATAATGTTTTTCTTCATAAACTCACCACTAGAGTGGACATTACTATTTGCAGCTGAGAATACTGGCTATTGTAGTAATTTTAAAGCAAGAAGGGAGTTGTAAACAATAAACTTAACATGTGGAATTTCCTCTGGAGATGTTAGGACAGTGAAAATATAATTATCACAGGATGGAAAGCTAAGTGCATTTTGATATGTCAGAGCAGAAGAATTGGTCAAACTATTGCTTGCTATACCTAGGAGCCCTGAACACCTGCCAACTGAGGCTTTTTTTTTAGTGGTAATGGTCTGATAAAATTCAGAATGTTGGCATGTGCTTATAGAATCTGTCACTTCAAATAATGTTCTGCAGTAGAGATGTCCTTAAACTCCAGCTAGAAGGTCTATAAGCAGAGATGAAGGGAGCACTGCTCTGCCAAAAGAGGTTCACTTGGCTTGCATCCTGACTTGTAAATTGGCTGAGAATATAATAATTTGGAACCCTGCAAGATTGAGAAAAGCTGGCTGCTCTGTATCCAAAAATGTGCCTATATAAGCAGAGGCTTCTAGGTGCAACTTTAAATAAAGATAAATTGTGGCCTGGGGACTTTTCTAGCACCTTCCTTTCCTAGGTCTCAGAATGACAGTAAGGATGGAGTCTAGCAGCAAAGATCAGAATAAAGAACATCCTGGCATATTATTTTGTGGGGCCTGAGGAGGCAACCACTAAGTTAAGGGAAAGGAATTCAAACAGAGAAGCCAAAAGCTAAGAGTTAAAATTTCCAGTCTTATAGAGCTATTCACACATCAAACCATCTTAAAATTAATTTCTTGGAAGCCTGGTAAAATGGCCAGGAAACATTATTGTCAATTGTGCCTCAGGTTTGTCCAGCTACAGCTATACTGGAAATAATTCCTTGTCCTTGAACTCACAGCAATAGGAAGTGAGCTCCAAGTACAGTGTCTGCCTGGATTTACTGATATGGCCCCAATTTATGGCTATCTTAGATAACATAATGCCTTTAGTTACTTTAAAGTTCTTTTCATTTACTTTCACTTTATACATCACCCACCTTGACTGTAGGCATTGAGTCTATGTAGCTGTAGATCCAAGGATTTGGAGGAAAATGAATAAAAGAAATTATCCCAGGAAGAATTACCAGGACCTGCCAATTTGGTTAACCAACTAGTTACTTCTGCTACTAGGATCAAAAAGTCCGAACTATAATTATCCAACAGGACTTTATTTGCTATGTGTCAACTGACATGTTTTTCCCATTTTCCCTCTACTGAACAGAAGTTTTAAGTTGTTTTCACATATTATCTACTACCGTACATGAGAATGCTGGAGGAAGTTGACTTGCCTTTAATTCATAGGTTAGGACTAACAAAAAAAAAAAAATCCTGGAATTTATGGAAAGTCCACCCAAATATTCTGGACTTTAAGCTAAATACAGTAAAGTGTATTGCCTACCTTGGATGGAGGTTCATTTAAACATG